CAAAATAAGTTGTGGCTAAAGCCAGAATCCTTTACTGTAAGTGCCTTTGGAGTCAGAGAGTACCTTGAAGTGGGCAAAGGCTTGTGATACTAGTCCTATTGAAATAAGTACAAGAAACTGGCTAGAAAATAGTCCCGCTGCATGGGAGTTTCCGGTAAGCATCTCAATGCCTTCTGGGAGAACAAAATGCTAGCAACAATAGACATTTGGTGTGATCCAGCAGAGCTCTTACATGCCGCCATCAGAAGTATTTTGCATTGTTGAGACTCGGTTGCACATTCTGTGCAAGTTACTTGATCAGTAAACTTTGCTGTATTCAATGCCACTTACTCCCAGTTATGTTTGAACAAGGTGGCAGTTCTTGGTCATAACTCACCACAAGAAGGGCTGTACCTATGCACACAGATGCCATTTACACCAAGACCTTTGGCCTCCACATGGCTTAAGAGTAGACTAAAGCTTCCAAAATCTTTTTCCTTTGGAGTGCATGGAAGTTCCATCTGGGGAATGAAAGGTGACCATACACAACTCAAAACATTTCATCTGGCATGTATAGATGAAAGAAGCTGAGGGACTCAGCTGGTGTCATGCCACTAACTTTTTGGGGGGGGGGAGAGTTATGAACATGTTTACATTTGTGCTTCTCTTCAGAGGCTGCCTGAGGATTCGCAGGTTCTAGACAGAGGGACAGATGCACAAATTTAAACTCAAGTCCCTTTGTGCCTTCATGTTTTTCTACCCCTGTGGAAAGAAATGATTAGCAGATGCGATTAGTTGAAATTTAGAATAGCAGTTTAAGATGATGAAGATTTTAGTTATATAATGTTACCCAATACGTAGCATCTAGATATCATCTTAATGTTTGAACTGCTGTACATGTTATTAGTAATGTTTACAACAGCCCAGTAAGATAAGTCAGCGTTTATCATCTCAATTATTACCTCAATTAGAGAGCTATTGTCTTAGTTGATAAATAGTGGCTTCCCTAAGATTATCTGATGAATCTATGGCAGAGGTGAAGTTTCAACTGGGGACATCCTGGTGGCAGTTCAGCGTTGCCATCCTATGCATGTTGAATCCGTAACGAGTATCCCTATGTTCAATGGTGTTTCCTCCAGGTAGGTGTCCAAAGCATTTCAGCTTAATAGCAGAATCTTATACATGTCTGCTGGCAAGTAATCTCTAATAGGTTCAAAGGAACATATGCTCAAGTGAGTGAGAACAGGATTGCAGCTGAAGTCTCTTTACTTTTGACATCTGTCTTATTTCCTATCATAATCTACATACATCGCATTTAAACGGAGGAGTATGATGCCTTGCAGACAATCTGTTTTCCTTTACAAGAAGCGTAGGTAGAAAAAAATTTTCTCTTGCTTACCATTTGGCCAAAAATTCTGGCATTATGTCTATCATCAGCCTGAAATGAGATGAGACCACGATGAAGATAGGTGGAAAAATTCCTTTTAGTTTTCCACTTAAGATTTTATAGTCTTTTTAGGCGAATCATAGACAAACCACAAAGAGATGGACTCAGATGTTAGCTATCTATCTCCCCTATTGCTCCACATAGTTACGGTCCTACAATCAAACCATCTGTTTAATGTTGCTTCTCTGAAAATGCAGGCAGTTATACTTTTGTTAGTGGGGGAAAGTACCCAGCTATTTGAAAACTATCTGTTTTGAAGATTTGCTCACTGTTGTTACAGATATACTTCTGCATTCTTTTGCTTACTTCCACACTGGATTTTTGCTCCTTTTTCCTCCTGTTTTTTCCCTTTTACCTCCTTGTTCGTGTTGTAAGTCTATAGGTGATTTTTAAAAAGTATTTCACCAAAATAACTTATTTCCTGCCTTGCCATGGCCAGCCCTATTATTAGATAGAGTGAAGCAGACACATCATCTGGTTTTAGAAAACATGAAAAGGGAAGAAATCTGTCAGTTATTACTTTGTCATAGTGGTATTTTTACCAAATTAGTGGAGACAGATACTTGTGGGATTTTCTGCTTCAGGTGCCCAAATTGCTGTTGGAATTTTTTCAGTCTCATGTGTTGCCTTTAGTAGGTTTGACTGGGAGGGACCTAACTGTGGTGAAGTGACTGTCAATCTATCCAGCAATAACCTATTATTTCTTTCATGCCTCTAAATTCAAGAAGAGCTCCGCCTCTTTGCTAAGGGATTCTTTTTCCCTTTCAGTAATCTGAAAAGTCTCAGAAGTAGTGAGTCTGCTGAGGCCTGCTGCTGCAAGCAGTCGTGTTTGTTAGTTTTGCTGTAGATCTGTAAGTGTAAATAAAGCAATTTTTATCTGTCTCCAATTAATGTCTTAGAGCGAGTTATTGAGACTATAAGTGCCAGTTAATGAGAAAAACAGATAGTCTACTCTGGAACTTGAAGCTATTCTGCTCTGTAAATCCCTCCACTTCTGCTGTGCTGTTAGAGGAATTTAACCAAGATTCAAAACCCTGCAACAATCACTTGATTCATTTTGGCTACCATGTGCCATAACTGTGCAAGGAAGGGAACAATTTGTTGCTCTGCCTCAGGCAGCAAAACTTCTCAGGACTACTCTCTGGACATCGTTTTCTTGCAGGAAACCTAAAGTGCCTAAAAATGGCAAACATTAAGGACAGTTTTGGAAACAAAAGGAATGCAAGCAAGATGCCATCTCACCAGCAATATTAAGAGAGCCACACCTAGCCATTGTGGCATTTTCCTCAGCTGCATAGTGGCTGCTGACTCAAATTTATATTTCCAACATTGACTCCTAGGCTACTAGCACTAGCAGTTCTTATGAAATGGTAGAGTTTCTTGGAATGATTTAGCAATACCTGCCTCAAAATCTGGATTGAGAGTTATACAACATGTATTGTTGGGGAGTGGGGGATGGGTGGGGGAAGAGACAGCCATCCTGAAACAAGTTGTTAATGGGGAGGAGTGATAATTTCATTTCATTTCATTTGCTAAGGTGTTTTAAAATGTTTTTCAAATAGTTTTTAATCTTGTTTAATGTTTATTTGTTTTTAATATAGTTTAGTATTTTAAACTTGCCATTATTGTACAATTATAGCCATGATGAGCTGTCTAAGGTCCCCTATGGGGAGGAATGTGACATATCAATAATATCAATCAATCAATCAAAATTAATTTTGAGGGGCTACCACCCCCTGAATCACATAGCTAGTATGGGTTGACTGGGAGTTGTACTCTTTAAAAGAGTTCTTTAAGATCCCAGATATGAAGCGAACAGCATTTTAAAATGTCTTCATACTTGAAATGGCAATAACTTGAAAGGTAAATAAGTTCAAATGTGACAAAACAAATTGCCTTCCCAGGCCCCAGGCTTAAAGCCTATGCTTGAATTTTTGTAAATTCATCAGTGTTTGCACTTTTGAATTATAGTTGTTTCCTCTTGTTTTCTGACAGGCTCCTAGTTTTTAACAGTTGTATGGCAGCCATATATACTGGCTGGATAGCTCAGTGATTTATATTGGTGGGCACAAAGCCAGAGTTTGGGGGTTCGATTTCCCCCTGTGCCTCCTATGAGTAGAACTAGCCTATGTGGCCTTGGGCAAGCTACACAGTCCCAGGAAGGCCATGGAAGAAGGGAACAGTAAACCTCTTCGGAGTACTCGCAACCTAGAAAATGCTGGAAATGGTTACAGTGTCAGAATGACTTGACACAATTGTTCCTATACTAAGAATTTCTGGTTTGAATTTTTCTACAGAAAATTGGAGTGTGTATATGTGTTTGTTTCAGATTCACTCAAATTTACAGATTTCTTTATATTTAGGGTGGAAAGATAGGAAGAGGAAGGCAATAAAAATATGAGAAAATAAAGACCAGGACCCTGTTGGGTGTCAGCAGAGTCCGAGTGCAGTAATTTAGAAAAAAAAAAACCTTTTGTGTGAACTTTACTCTTCTACAAAAAGAGAAGCCCATCCTGAATAACTAGCTTCTGCAAGGCCATCCTTGATACTTCCTTGCAGAAGCATAACAGAAAAGTCAAACCACTAATGTTATGACCAAGGTATGAGCAATTTGCCTCTCACAGGATCCTGACCTTAGATAATGGGTGAAAAGATTTTAAAGTTAGAATATGGGGGAAACTGAGGCTGGCAGTTTCATTCTTCCCTGGTTACAACGGTGGCTGCTGGTCATTATGGTTAGTGGGATGGATGGCAAAGCAGCCAATGGGGGCTAGAATGGGTGTGTGCGTGTGCCAGCTATTACCTCCTGCTGATTCTGTTTTCAAACTTCTCTCTCTCTCTCTCATATCAATCCACACAGATTCTGAGCTTAGCAACAGGAGAACACAGGCACTACAGATGGGCACGAACACTGCACTTCGGTGTGGTTCGGCGGATCAGGCCCATAGGTATTGTATGGGTAGCCCAGATTCCATGCCTTGTCTCCTTCTGCAGACACTCACTCAGAGGAGGAGGTGGGGCAGGGAAGCCCGAGGGAGGAGGCAAGGTGCAGAATTTGAAGTGCCTGCAAAACACCTGTGGACCCAGTCCACCAAACCACACCAAAGCACCAGGCCGTGAGAAATGCCCATCTCTAATAGGCACCTTGATCTGTCACACTGATGCTGAAGTGAGGTATCACCCCACTTGCCCCCGGTGCTTTGCTGTGAATCCAAATCAACACATGGGCTTTCCCAGTATTTATAAGAGGCCAGATAGTTTCCCATTTCTTGCTTCACTCAAAGCCAGATGCCAACCACATGCATCTTGGCTCATGAAGAAACAGCAAAGGCTTGATGTCTGTATCCTCCAAGATGCTCATCCGGAAAAGGGATGGGTTGGGTACATCCTGGGCTGTGCATTCGCAGGCAGAGCCACTATTAATTGTGCATGGTTAGCTGAGAAGGAAATAGAATGAGAATGTGATTCTTGTGTGATCTGATGAAATGTTGAGAATCTGTGTCATTTTAATTACCACCACCCATAGAATCACAGGCTGTTTCCTTTTTTCCCCTGAATTGTATCTTCATTGCAGTTTTGCTCTAACAAAACCGAAGAGCTGTTGCAGAACATCAGCGGAAAAGACACACTGAACTTTGGACATGAGATCACAAACAACCACATAATAAACACGGTGAGAGGTTCCCCCCCTGCTCTTCTTTCTGAGATCCTATCTCAGGAAATGACAGGCTTTCCTTAACCCTTGAAATGGAAATGTCTATAATCAGTTTAATTCATTATGCTCTGTTGGCGTAGCAGAACATTCAAACCAAACCAGTATATACAGGTGAAGAGGACAGAGTCCATTGTAACAACCATGCCATGTCTCTGATTTCAAATGATTCAAATGCAAGCTTCCTCCAGGATTTCTAGGCTGATATCTGGCAATTAAAGGGTCTTCTTACCCTGTCATTTTGCTTCCTCTACAGTTATTGTACAATAACTTTTGTTATTTATCCAGTTCCAGAGCACTGTCCTGCCATCTCCACTACACAAAGGGAGAATATTCACTAAATTTCTCATTTTCATCTATTCATGCTGTCCCTACACGGCACCTTAATAAGGAATGTTCAAGCCCCCCCAAGACTTCTTGCCTCCAGGGACATGCAAGATAAGAAACACAACCTTTCCCTCCCCCTCATCAAACTGGCCATAATTTGCACAAAGTCTCTGTCTAAAAATAGTGCCCAGTTCCTTTGAGAAGTAGAACAGACAGACACCCACAGCAAGCACAGGATGATCCACTGATTCTTTCAAAAGACAAAAAAAAACCAACCCACCTGCTGCTTCTGCTCCTTTAAAGTCTTTGTGGTAAAGCAGAAGCCAAGGCAGTTTCATGCAGTTGCTCATTTTTGCTTAATCTGCACACAAAAATTGTTCCTGTCAAACGGGGTCTATCGTGGGGCTAGGAGAAAGAAATTGTAGTTCTTTGTCATCACAGGCATGGATGAAACAAGTGAGATTAACATCTTTAAACAATTTCACAGCAATTTTGTTAGCTACAGCTTTCAAATACATTTACTGTATCCCGGGGCAAAATTGCATTCACAAAGTTGCATTCATTGGCTGGCAGGTGTTCTTTTTCCTCCCAGCCCAGCTGCCAGATTTTTAACTGGTTCAAAGGCCCAACCCTGTTCCTGCCTCTCTGTTAAAATGGTGCCTGATTGGCTGTAGGAGTTGCTGAAACCTCCCAGCAACTTCCACAGCCCCTGCTTGGGCCCACCTTAGCAAATTATCACATCACTTTCCGTCTGTATCTTCCCCCCCACCTGTCCTTGGACCCATAGAGGGCCAAAGTAGGAATCCATAATATTTTTATACTTACTATGTTATTTATTATGAGAATAAGATACAAAGCCATCCACTTCAATGGGCACAAACCAGAATATTGTATATTCAATCACAGGTGCAGGATAATGCATTTATTAAGCTGACTGGAAATGCAGGTGCATTTGGTTGTATCATTGTTACTTTTCCAGGTATTTACTCATTACACTCCAAACACCATTGCAGGGAGCATTATGAAAGGCCATTTTTTTCTATTTCTATTTTAAGAAAATAATACATTAAAAATACTGAATTGAATTCTGTGACATAATTATTCAGCTCTTGTGTGACAAGTGCTAAAATCTCATGCTAACTTCTTAGTAAGTGGCAATTCACCACTGATAGTTATACTGATGGAAATATACTGGCAGGTATAACTAATAGGATTCTGTACAATAATGTAAGTGTAACTAAAAAGTAACACATAGGCAATGCGCTGACAATGTTTCACACTTTTAATAATGAGTAATTATGGTAATGAGAGCCAGTGTGGTATAATGGGTAGAGTGTCAGACTAAGACTCACAAGACCTGGGTTCTAATCTTTGCTTGGCATGTTAGCATGCTGGGGAAAGACTATGGTCTATGAACCATCCCCAAGGAAAGCAAATAATACTGTGCTATAAGGACTGATGGTGTTTGGATCAGAAAAAAGACCTCATTTACAAGTGTTTCTATAGTGCAGCATCACGGTTTGGATCAGAAAAAAAGACCTCATTTACAAGTGTTTCTATTTAAAATGACCCATCCTTCCCTTTTAAGAGCTGTCATCCATCTTTCTGGCCCAGTGGTAAGGCAGCATACTTGGAGATAGCAGCCTCCAGCTGCCTCTGCCATTGTGGCTGCAGATTCCAAGGGAGGAGGGAGAAATTGGTAAGGGTAGAGAATGAGGGAAGGGAAGCAGGGAGGACAGAAGGGGGGGAAGCAGAATGGCATCAACAGAAGGAGAGGGGGCGACATAAAAAAATAGTTTCCCCTGCAAAAATTAGTTTCCCCTGCCCCTCCACAGATGATTGGAGAAGTGCTTAACTGACAACTGATTGGGCTAGAAAGCAGAATGGCACCAACAGAAGGAGAGAGGAGCGACATAAAAAAAAATAGTTTCCCCTGCAAAAAATAGTTTCCCTTGCCAGTTCACAGATGATTGGAGAAGTGCTTAATTGACAACTGATTGGGCTGCAATGTGTCTTTGCTGTTGGGATGGGAGGAGCATGTCAAATGGCACATCACTCCTCCCCCTGACCTCAGCAGGTCCTTTGCAGCTCGATCCCCGCACCCCCACCCCACAAAACCACTAATGTGGACAGGCCCTTAGTCTGGACTGAGCAGTCATACAAACTTGCATCAAGTGGCAGTAGTTCCACCAGTTCCTCTTTGGTATCTTGTGGAGAGACATTTTTGGACACATCTCGACCACTGGGTTTTTTAAAGTATAAAACAAATCTTCTAGCCTGCCTTCTGTAATTTTTCTTTTCCGTTTTCCTCAGAGTACTTGTAGTGATGCTTGCCTTATTTTTTTTTTAAAATGCCTCTTTGCTACAGGCCAGAGACCTTGTCAACACCCTCTCTTCAGTATGTCAACCGATCTGGACCCTTGGCCTTCATCAGACCTTTCTCCTGCTTCTTATCATTGGGAGATGGCTCCTTCCCATTGGTGGTGAAATTACCCGGGACCAGTTGTCACAGCTGCTTCTTATGTTTGTGGGCACTGCAGCTGATATACTTGAATTCACCAGTGAGACTTTGGAAATAGGGAATGTAAGGTAGGTAACCTAGAACTCCAGGCTTTGTAGAGGCCTCAGCTGTGCCAGTCTCTGAAGAAAGTGACTTGAAACACCCAGAAGTACCCTAAGCTACCTGGCTGAGTGGAAAGAGATCATGTTTCCCTAAATAGGACAGCGGACAAAATCATCTTGTGTAGTTACACTGTTTTAAGGGAAAAGGTAGAACTAACAGCAGCAAAATGCCACTGATTAATGAGTCCCCACTTGAATTCCTTCATTGGATGGCAATCGGGTAGCTTGGTATGTGATCAGGAATTGAAGTGAGGACTCATGAATTAGCTGCAGTTTGTCATTCTCCTCAGGCAGGCTTTTCCTTAATGACTGGTGGTCTGAGATGAGTTTTAAATGGACTGTGGTGCTCTGTTGTTTTAAATGTGTTTTAATATTGACCTTCGTTACCATTTTAATATAGTACCTGTTTAATTCTTTTAAAATATTTGTATACTTACTGTTTTAGCTTTTAAATAATATTTAAGTGATGTAAGCCACCTTGGGTCCTTTTGGGAGAGAAATGGCAGAGAAACAAATAAATAAGCAAAACAAACAAACAAACAAATAATACAGTGGTTCGTGGAATTCTGAAAATGAAACCCATGAAGTTTAGCACATTACAATAAAACAACGTAGACATTCCTGATAGGAAGCAGTGGCACTTTGATGTTAACTTTAACTATATTGTTCCATTGGTTTCAATTAGATTTACTCCGAATAAGGTTTAGACAAGGCTGGAAAATGTGTAGCCCTTAGCTTAATTTTGAAAGCCTTCTGCAATAATTTAGCTAGCTTGATTGGAAGAGCAATCTCTTCCTGCCATGGCTGCCTGTTGGGCAGAGAGAAGGAAAAGGGAAAACTGAGGAGAAAAGGGCAGCAGAGAGACAGAAATGGGAACAGCCCTGCTGATGTTTGAGCCTGGCCAAAACCCTTAGTTTCTTTGATCCCATCTATTACTGACATTTAATATCTGACATTAATCCCACAGGAACATGGCTGTCAACAGAAAGAAGACTTCCCACACCTGCCTCAGGTGGTCTGGGACCTACAAAACCTATTTTGTTCTGTTTCAGAGGTTGTACTAACTTTGCCAGACACATGCAGTTGACAAAGGAGAAGTTGAATTTGCCTGCCTGCTTGTCTACCGATCTACCTACCCACCCACCTACACATCCCTTTACCTGCGGTAGCTGTAGAAGTAGCCAGTATGGTATAGTAGACAGAGTGGTGGACTAGGGCTGAGGTGACTTAGGTTTGAATCCCAGTTCAGCCATGGAAACTTACTGAGGGGATGGAACCATAAAATTGCTCCTAAAACATCTGACTTATATTGAAATCTCTATTAGGGTCACTATTAGTTAGGTAGTTAGTTTCTGGTACTTATATATGGCCCCATTAGTGTACAGCACTATTGTGGGTGGTTTACATTAAAACAATGATAAAAATAAAACCTCAAGCATAGCTTAAAACAACGCCAGAACCCAGATGGCATTAAGAGTTAGACTGGCAGAAACATAGCTTAAAACAACGCCAGAACCCAGCATGAACTCAGATGGCATTAAGAGTTAGACTGGCAGAACAGGGGCCATGAGTTCAAAAGAGTGCCTTCAAAAGCTTCCTGGTTTCGGCTTAACGGCATGTAAATAACTATGTTTGTTATCACAGCTGAGTTAATTAACAATTCAGTCATTGGCATCTATCAATGGCTGCATGCAGCAGAACTGGGGATGAGGGAATATTGTAGCACAGTATGGTGATTTCTATGATTGTTAATGGGAATTATTTCCTGTTGATTAAAAAAAGGAAAGCTCCAAGCTATGAGGTCTTTCTGCCTGTCTCAACAGTAATGCATCTTGACAGAATGCCTCATGCTAGAATTACTAAATACAACACTTGGATTCTGTACATACGTCAATGAATGTCCTCAAATTGAGTTGGATGGGATGCTGAATAGACGTGGTTAGGATTATATTGTAAGAGGCTGCATTAAGATAATTATATCTTTCCCTGGGAAATTTAAGACTGTGATGTATGTAAAACATGCTTTGTTCCCAGTAAAACAGCTGCCTGACAAAGGTCATAACAATGTTTCTTTTATTAAGCAACATAAAATCTATTTACTTGGGGTTTTGTTTTGTTTTTGATTTGTTGGTTGGTTGGTTTTTGGTAGACAGCCGGGTTTTGGGGTCATTTTGAGGCATCTTTGGCCATCTCCCTATTTTTAAATACCTGTATATATTTTAGAAATAATAATAACAATTTAAAAAATGAAAAAGCATTGCGTTAGTAACACATTGCTAACTTGTTACTCTTGCTTAAAGTAGCAAGCAATGAGTACTGGCTAAGATACTGCCAAAAAGAAAAGGGAAAAGGTCCAGAGCCCTGATCTGTTTAGCCCTGGGTTGTGTTTTTAGGAGAGGCACCAAGCTGGATTGTCTCGCCAGCCTAGTTCATTGAGCAAAGCTAAAGAAGAGAAAACTGAATCAGGATTTTACTCCGTCTTGAAAGTCCAAGCACCAACTGTAGTATATTTTAGCTACAAAATGTCAGTGACATAGCCCCCGATTTTGTACAAGAGTTTGGCAAACACACAGAGAACTTTTGTCAACTTTTAAAGTTTAAACTGGACATCTCAGTCCAGCCCAAGATAGTTTATTCTCATTATTAGGTTGAAATCAGGTCACACTGGCTGAATTTTACCCTTTTATTTAATATGATGGCATTCTAATGGGCCTGGGAGAGTTTTCATAATACTGTAAATAGTTGTTGCATCTTCTTTGTTTCAGGAAGAAACATGCTCTTGTCTATGCAATTCTAGGAGTGTGGACCTGGAGTATGTTGCAATTTCCTCTGAATCTTGCAGGTTAGTAGGGCACAAATCAAAATGTATGATTAGAGCAAACCTTGCCCACTCTCCTGCTCCTTCTTTCTTAAGAGTAAGTTTTGGGTTTTTTGTGTTGTTGTTTAGTCATTTAGTTGTGTCCAACTCTTCTTGACCCCATGGACCAGAGCACGCCAGGCCCTCCTGTCTTCCACTGCCTCCCAGAGTTTGGTCAAATTCATGTTGGTTGCTTTGATGACACTGTCCAACCATCTCATCCTCTGTTGTCCCCTTCTCCTCTTGCCCTCACACTTTCCCAACATCAGGGTCTTTTCCAGGGAGTCTTCTCTTCTCATGAGATAGCCAAAGTACTGGAGCCTCAGCTTCAGGATCTGTCCTTCCAGTGAGCACTCAGGCTTGATTTCCTTCAGAATGGATAGGTTTGTTCTCCTTGCAGTCCAGGGGACTCTCAAGACTCTCCAGCACTTAATTTTAGATCTTAGAACTGAACCTGGGCCAGTGCCATATGAAAGAATGGTTAAAAAAGAAGATTCCTGAACTTGTACAAAGTTGTCTCTTGCTCTCTCAGTAATGTTTTTTTAAAAATAGCAAATTAAATAACAAAGTAGTTGCCACCCTTTATTGTGCCATGTGTGAGAGAGCCACCTAATTGTAGAAGCAACTTGTGTAACTCAGAAAGTGTGTTGGGTCCAGTCCTTGGAGGAAGTTTATCCAGTGACTGAGTGTGACTTTGGGAACCTGAGCATTTTTTTTGTCGTCTGAATTTTGAGAAGTTTGCATCCAATACTTGCCAATATCAATTCAACCTGCTTTGCCTAGCATTGCCATTTGCCGTCATTCCCTTCAGATGGTCTTCATTGTCAGGTACGGTATGCCTCCTAAAGTGAAAACAAAACAAATTTGAGCATCCCTGGCTGAAATGAAAATTGAGAAGTGGTGACAGCTCTGTTGCAGTGCTGGCCCTTTCATCGGACAGAGTGAAACAACGGTCTTAAGCTTCAGATGTAGAGACTGACAGTGGCAGCGTCCTGGCTGTTCCTCATGAACTCTCCACCTGTTCACTTCGGTTGGAAGGCAAGGCTGTGTATGCCACAGAATCTTCTGGGAGGTATTCAAAATCAGCCTGCTACCTCAAGTGTAATAGATTTGACTGTCAGTCCAGTTGGGTTCTCTAAATGAACGGAAGAGGACGCATGATTGTGTCATTTCCTTCAGGCAGCAGAAGGCCTTAAGCTCTCCTGCTTTTCTGGTATTGTGCATTCTGAGGTGGTGCCCGCTGCCATGGATAGGTGAAAGAAATGTTGGGGAATACATCTGTACAAGGTTAGCCGCTTACTTCATGTTTCCCATTTGTGGCACCACAAAGAAAAGGAAATTCTACAGCAAATAGAGGATTTTCATGTTGCCCTTCAGATATCAGTTAAGGGGGGGGATTGGAAAGGCATAGCACACAGAGCTTTCCACAACACACTTAAGACACAAATATAGCCTACTCGAAAAAGATCTCAGGGTGTGACTGTGACTGCACTGAAACTGTACTGCTGTTTGTGCTGCAGTTCTCACTATTAATTTCAAAGTATTTTTCATCATCTACCTGCAACCTTCCCTCTAATTTTCAACCCCACTGGGTGGCGCTCTGTCCCCCATGTACACAACTTTGCCCCACATGTGCATGTGCTTCTTCCCCTTTTGTGGGGTTCCATTGTGACCGAAGCCAAAGGGACTGAAAATTGTAGCTGTCGATGCGCAGAGGAGGAGCAGCCTTGTGCGGAGGGGGGGCAGAGTCACGTGCGGGTGCACACCTTCGAGGGAATTTGTTTTGTTTTATTTTAATTAATTAATTCAATTTGTATCCTGCACCCATTAGTGCCAAGGTACTAGTCTGGGCGGTAGCAACACATACAAATAGAGAACAAAATAAAAGATAAAAACATTAAAACCAACAACGGTAACCCTAAAAACAAATGGCACAGAATATTCATATAGACCCAGAGCAAACAGAGAAAAGCAGGGGGTGGGGGAGATGAGGAAGGTGGTCAGCTGGGGTCAGTGTAGAAAGCCTCCCTGAAAACCAATGTCTTTAATTGCTTCCTACATGTCAACAGGGAGGGGGTTAGATGCAGCTCCTCTGGAAGTTGGTTCCACAAAGTTGGAGCCACCGCAAAGAAGGCCCTACCTCTTGTTGAGGATTTATGAGGATTTATTCTCTCGGGGTGGCCACCCGGAGGAGTCTCTACTGGGATGATCTTGTGCGTGGGGCAGATGATATTAAGGAAAGATGCGCCAACAATTAATCTTGTCTAGATAACATAACACCTTATTGTGAGTAAATTCAGTCTTTCTCTATCAGTATGCAGTACTTTTTCCTCAATCAGTGTTGGGCTTTTTGGTAACATCTCCATATGCCTTTGATTCCCATTTTGTTGGTGTTGTGTGATTTCATATATCAGTCCTTTTGGAGGTGGAGCCTCTCTCTCTCATTTCTGATGTGGTGTATTTTCTTAAAATACATAAATCAGGCACACTGAATGAAAGCCAGCCAGAAAAGGGGTGTGTGTGAAGGCTCCTGCCTCTCTTCCTCCCCCACCTTCCCTGTCACCACTTCACATTTGTTGCTCAGCCTGAAACAAATTCAAGTAGAAGCTGTCTCAAAGGAGTGCAGGTGGGAGGAGGGAGTTGTGGAGAAGAGCTGAATCACCAAAACAAAAGAGGTAGGAAGATGATTGCTGGACTTGGATGCTGCTTCACTCACAGCTGGGGAATGGAAAAGAGGGGAAGGGGCAAGGAAGAGGGTATTGATAAGGCCAGAGGAGGACGAAAGGGGAGGGGAGGCTGTGATCCGTGCGAGAATTGTATCGATTTGAGATGCAATATGGACTCTTGCCACCCACATTTCCATCTGAATCACAACAGCAACCTCAGGAGCAGAAACTGCCAGAGCATGGTATGCAAAACTGAGACTCAACCCCAAGCAGACTCCCTGTGTAACTGTATCCTTAGTTGTTCTTTCCTCTGAGTGTTAGATATGCCTTTTTATAAAGGCTCCATTTTACTTGGTCCATGGCATGAATGTAATTAATAAGAATGTTCTCTTTTTTTGAATAGTGCAACACCTTGAATGCAGTCCTTCCATCTCCTCCAAGAAAGTCTTCCGTTTGCTTCTCTGCAGACACAGCGCCGACCTATGGAACATTGGCATCAGCTTGTTCATACAAGATGGTCCTTTTCTTGTTGTGCGCTTGATCCTGATGAGCTATTTTAATATCATTACCCAGATGCTGGTGTTTTTCACAGCTAAGAATATCTTAGTTGTGATGCTACAGTTATACCGCCTTGTTGTGTTATCATTCGACTTCCATGCCTCCCTGCGGTATCAGTCAAGCAGCCGGAAAGGAGGAGTCGGCTGTTGCCCGTGTGAACCTAACAATCTCAGCCTTCCACCCAGCAGCTGTGATATGGATGAAAGGGATTGTGCTACCATTGCTCTGGGGAATTCAGTCACCAATGAGCACCTGTGAGCTTTTCTTTGATTCAAGACTTTGTGTTGTTCTCTCTCTCAGCCACTTTAGAAGGGACTGGCATTATCAAACGGCCCATTCAGTTTCCTGTCCATGATGAATTGAACTTTTGATTCTAGCAACCAGGAGGAGATGCTGAAGCACAACGGTCTGCCCTGAATGGGAAACAATTCAGTCCTTCTGATTTAGGTGGCTGACAGTAAATCCATAGTGTATTCATCCTATGGGATTAGCAGAAGTACTTTTATAGAATTTTTGGAAAATGTGATGCTTTAGTGGACTTGGTTATTGATTGGTCATTGTACTAGCAGAATATTTACCTGAAATTCAGACTGATCCTAGCAAATGACCTCTTTGGAGAAGAATGTAAAAGAAATGCATTCTTTCTGCCTATCAGACATAGAACTATTCTGCACCCAGTAGATGGGAGGACAACTGGCTTACAATGATCTCTCTCCCTGCCAATAGAAAATGATATTGTTTAGCCCATGGAGGAATTTCAAAAGATTCTGAAACTCTTTCTTTACAGACATTATCAAACATGACATTCTCTCTTATATCTCGTTTGATATTAAGTAGAACATCATGTTGTACTTAACTTTATCACGAGTCACTTTGTTCAAGGATTTTGATACAAAAGGCTTTGTACCTTTAAAATTTCAGGCTAGGACAATGTAGGAGGTTGTCTGCTCACCAAGGCATCTCTTTTTCTAGGATGGTTCCTGTTGCTGGGCAATCAGTAACAGGTACTCTTATTCCTGATGGGTGATCTACATAAAAACTGAGCATCAGAAGCCTGGTACCTTGAAGTTACCTGCAATTCTGTAGCATCATTTGAATTTTACTCTGGATCTGACCAATAAACTGAAGTTCTCAGCATTCATTTCATCAGATGTATTTTCAGGTCTTGAAAATAAATGTCATATTATGAAAAGGATTATAAGAATGATTTATTTGTTTAAGGAAAAAAAACTCTTATAATCACTAATGTAAGGATTGCATGCCTGCAATTTTTTAAATGAAGGAAAATATTTGCAAGGAAGACAACTAAATCTTCCGTAGGAATAGGTGACACCTTTATTGGACCATTAAAAAAAGAAAAGAAAAAAACGGAGTGAGGTTTCTATGATCATTCACCTTCCTCAGGCTCTGCACCAAGTTCTCGTGAGTAGCTCCAAAGTAATATGCTTATATTAAAGTCCCAAAAGTTCCATGGCTGCTGTTGGGGGCCAGGCGCAACTTCTTAGATGGAGATAGCTGTAGTCTGCAAGAGCCAGTGGTTTGGAATTTATGACCCATCTTTTTAAACAAAAGGTGGCCAGCAATCTGGTTCCCCCCCTTCCTTTCCTCCTTTCTGCCTTCATTTGAAACTCAAAAGAGTTTCTGTTTGGCTAGAGAAAATTAGGGGGGCAACAAAAGCATGGCCAGCCTCCATCAGAGTTGAGATAAAAAATTTATTTAAACCACCAGGAACAGCCAATTTCAGCCAAATCAAAGCCAAATCAATAGTTGGCTGGTCAGGGCACCTGAAGACCAACCTGAGTTCCTGAACGTCATGGACTTTTGAAACCAGACAGGCAGTACTGCATGCTGAGGAAAGCATCCACAAGTCAAAACTATTGATTTCGCTATCATGAAGTATTGTCTGTTGATCAGTATTGTCTCCCTGCCTTTTCTAGGCTATTATGACTGATCAGTTTATAAATCAGGAATAAGAAACTTCTGAGAGTAAAGGGGCAATTATCTAGACCACTGAAAATGAGGAAGAAATACCAAATATCTATTTTGGAACTCAATTTCAAATTTCATTTTTATAAGCTTGGAGTTATGGGGGAGTGCATCCCCATTTTACTGTAAAACCACCACTCCTGGAGGCTTTCAGAAATAGGAAATGATTGGGGGGGGGGCGTTTTGAGAGTTTTTTCTTTTCAATGGAGAATATTTGGTGGCCATAAAAGTGAGCTGGGGCAGATACTAATCCTGGGCTGCATTTTGCCCCCCTCCCATGCTTTAAATTCAACTAGCTTTCTGGTTACTCCAGCAGCGCAGGGCTGCAATATAGTATTGTGGTTGGTGGATGCAGGCCCTCAATCTGCTATCCCAAGTGTCAGGCTTTTCTGTGCATTTAAATCATACGCCGGTTTGTTTCAGATGCTTATGCGAACTGCAATACACACCTGCCTCTCGATGTATGTGTTGTGATCAGATCAGTTCAATTTAGAGACCAGTGTGAGGTTTAGGAATGTGCTCCGTTGATTCAATTTGTGTCCTAGATCTGAGTCAATTTGTAAGGTTTCCATTGAGTTGCATTGGAAAACCAACATGACTACAGTATTTAACTTTTGTTGTTGGTATTTTACACTGATGTACATGACACTGGGATTCCTAGTTTGATATAGTGGATAGAGTGATGGACTAGGACTCTGGAGAACAGGGTTCGAATCCCCATGTGGCCATGGAAACTCACTGGGGGAGTAAAACTGATAAAACCACTCCTTAAAGCCCTCACTTACCTAGAAATCTGTATTAGGGTTGCTATAAGTTGGTTCCAAGTTGACTGCACAGAACTCACATGCATGACATCTGTGACGATTCTCAGTCATCCAGGTGAGGTTATTTGGAAGTTGAGTCATGGCAATTGGACTTCTTTCCTATTAGGCTGAAACATTTCACTACTCATCCAAGTAGCTTCTTCAGTCTGAGAAGAGTTGGTCGGAGACCCCGATATATCCTCCACATTGGTTTCACTTCCTCCTGGTCCAAATAGGCTAGTTATATGGACAAAGAATGGGAGGAAGGTGAGTGAAAGGGGCACTTCTGCAGTCCATCTCTCATTAACAGTAGTCTTTCTGGCGTGTATGGTCCTGATCTTTCTGGGGACAGATGAAAGGGCAGTAGGATAAATAGGAGACAGATTGTATCTAAGGCATCCACCTCTGTTGAGTGAAGGATTTCCTGTATGCACATGTATGGCCTCCCTGACCCCTCTCTCAAGCCACCTATCTCCTCAATCCAAAATGGGTACATCTTGGTCCTTTGTCCTTCAAATGAAGGAACATGGCTGATTGTGGTCCTGAGCTGTTGCCCCCGCTGTGCTGGGCCATTCTCCTGTTTTGTGGCTCTTTGGTTTCTCCAATGTAGAGTTCTGAACACTCCTCTTTGCCATGGACCGCATACACTATATTACTCCTGTTGTGTTTTGGTGTCTGGTCTTTTGGGTGGACAAGTCTCTGCCTTAGTGGGTTTGAAGTGCACGGATATGTGGTGTTTACCAAAAATCATTTTGAGCTTTTCAGACACACCCGCGATGTAAGGAATGACCAGGTTCTTCTGTTGGCTCTGGGTCTCAGACTGTACCATTGTCCTGCTGGGTCAGAACATGCATGATATTTCACAACATGATGGATTCTAAAGAGAGGAGTAAATATGCCAGATTTCCATTATCTTCAAGGGGTTGTGTATTAGGTATCTTTAAATTCGGGTAGCCTTGGGGAAGCTCAAGTGTTCTGTGCCTCGTCCAGTTTGATTTGTGCTCCGATTTGTAAATTCACTTCATCTGAGAGCTTAATCTGACTGTTCTGCTTCAGTCTGAACCTCATAAAAATCTCCCTGAATTCAGCTTGGAATTTGGGATTAGTCTGGGCTCAATGGCCTTATCGGCCCCTTCCAAATCAATTATTCTATGAATCTTGTGCACTGCCCTAACTGTTATGTCCAATTGTTGCTGTATGTGTTTTATCGTTTGCATGACCAGCCTCTGTAGAAAGTACATAACTGGAGCTTTAGAGGAAGAGGTTAAGTCACCCCTTTTCTTGAACATGCTTGAATGTATTTTGTATTGCTTTGCGTGTATACACATTCCATAACTTTTCCTTTAGAATTATTTAATAATATTTGTTTGAGTACTTCACTTTAAAACTATATTTCAATAGAAAGCACAGAGTCAATGGAACCCTCACATAAAGATATTTTTGATGAAAAAAGAATACGTATATGAAAGGTTGCAGTTTAGGTGGTTATTTTCTTCCACAGTGCCTTTTCCTGATACATCTATATGACTGGGTGTTGTGTCTCTGCAGATCAATTCAGAGATACCTTGCATTCTTTTTTCTTTTCTTTAACAAAAGAAGACTTAAAGTACATTATACGATGCAACTTCCTAATGACAGAAAGAACAGGATGAGTTCTGACACCGTGAAATCCTAAACATCTTAGATTTAATTTGGAGAAGCATGTAATTCAAACTCTTGAAGGAAGCAGGAGCACTTCACGTGGCCTACTTGGCCCGCTTGGGGTATCTGGCAGGTACAATTCTACAAGCTATCCTAGACAACAATATTGAAAAGTCTGTGACTGTGAAAACTATTGGGGGAAAAAAAACCAATTAAGTGGGGGCATCATGAAAAAGGAACAAGATAAAGTAATAAAAATGAAAAGCAAGTGAATGGGTTTTGAGTGTTTCAGATGAGGCTCCTGCCTTGTTTGTGGAATACTGAGAAACAAAGAGTAGGGATAGGGGATAATTTCATTACATTTAATGCTTTATTTTGTGGTTTTAAATACCAACACAATTGCAAATTTTTTTATATTTCACGTGGGAAGAATTTGCCATTTAGAAGGGGGAAAAACGAATGAGGGAGAAACTAAAATTAATTGATTTGTCCATCCTGACACAGAACACTGCATGCTTAACTTAAGTCCTTATGTACTGAATTGTATTAGGCCCAAATTAGGATTGTCACTTTTCTCCTGACACTGCCTTCTCTAACAATGGTTTGATAGGTGTGTATTACTTCGAATGCAGCTACATGGTGAATTGGGGCATGATATTCAGACCTGGGGGTCATGCCAAAGCAAAGCATTGTGGTTTTAATGTGAGTGACCAAGTGTTAGTTCTAAATCCTGTCAGATTGTGTGGAAAGACTTTTTTGTTATGAAGCAAAAGCTTACTGTTGTTAGTTACTTAATTGATAGGTGTCATTAAAATCACCTTCCCATCTGTTATCTTTTCTCATACTTCCAGGTAACACATGTAGGTATTACCCCATCTCTATCACATATGATTTTAAACTATTGGCATGACAAACTATGACAAGAGATGAGGTAATTCCTGCATGTGTTACTTAAAAGTAAGGGGAAAGAGTAATGGATGGGAAGGGGAAAGCAGAGATCCCTGTTATGGAATCATTCTGATGTGTGAATTATGGTGTATTTTGCAATAGTACTGTTCAAATATGTTCATGATTTGTGCTCTTAGACTGTTAACTATCTCTCCATGTTATTTTTCTATTGAAAAGCTTTTGGAAAATGTAGTAGTCTGCAGCTTTAAATGATAAAATGGCTTCACAGTGAGCCAATAAAGAATCAGGAGAGGTGGGACCAGAGGAAGGAAGGAAAGAAGGGGGGGGCTGTGGATTGGAATGCAACTTGCATCACATCCAGTATGAAGGGTGAAGTCTGGAACAAATCTGCAGACCCTGTGTGAGCACTGATTGCAATTTCAAACATAATACAGGCTGTTTATCAAATTACAGCACAGCCAAGATGTTCTGATTCAGCTTTCCAATGTTATCACACTCCTAGTCCTGTTCATTCAAGGAACAGTTGCATTAATGAATATACTGTAATTCCTGCAAACTGGTGGAGATTCTGTTTAAGTTCATGCCGAAAGAAATTTCCAGAATTTACAGACTTCATATTTTTAAAAAATGAATTTTAAAAAATTTGAATGCAAGATAAAACAAAATTGACAGATTTTTTCCATACTAGTCCAGGTATGGTCATCTTCCTTTTTAAAACCCCTCATCTTTCCCCTTCATTTCTTCCACTGTTTCAAATCAAAAACAAAAACATATTAAGGCCAGAAATCCGTGGGAGGCAAACAGTGCAAAAAGGTAATAGTGCAGTGAGTTTTCCTATGAACTCCCTTTCTCCAAA